AGCACATTTATTTTTCACGGATGAATTGATGACGAAGCGAGTATTTTAATTTGTTTGACCATTTACAGGGATCAATAATATCAGATGCAACTATTATAAACATAAATTTTATAATTATTCGGTTCAGTTGATATCTGCATTCTTGTTTTAACTACGTTTTGATGTTTTCTCTCTCTCTCTCTCTCTCCCCCCCCCTCCTTTTTAACCGTCTTTCTTGCTTGAAAATTTATTCACGCACAATTTTATCGTGACTAACTCTTGCTCGTTGCTCCGCAACGAAATCCTGAACTATTAGAGATAACGAAGCTTACACGCTCCTGTGGAGCTTTATACGCGTCTATGCTCGCGCGATGAAGGCTATATACGTCTGGTTTCCCTAAACACGTCGTCGCCCACGCATAGTTACAGAAACAGCCACATCGCGATAGAGATTCTCGCATATAGGAAACTATAGAACTGGCCCAAGCGCATAGATATACGTACAGCGCACGTTACACATTGTCACTGCTAATGTTTGGTCGAGATTTGCATACGTCTGTCTAGCCTATCCATTGCATCGCCGTACAACGGTTGTCTCACCTCGTTGTCCGAGGGTGTATCCGGCGTAGTGGCGGCGGCGGCGGTGGCAGCGACCTTACTCTGTACTATCAGCTTGGTATTATACACACGAACGTACAAGCGACCTACGCAAGCGCGCGTACGCCGTCATGATCGCCTATTACCTTACCCGAAATAGGCTATCGTGCCAAGATCGTGTGCTTTCCCTGCATTGCCTCACAGTTCTCGCCTTGTCCCTTACCTAAACTGACTAGCACTGCCGCGGGGCCATGAACTCACAAATCTAATCGCGAGGGAATGAAGACACAAAGCGATATTCACAAGCACCTTGCTTCGTAGGTATCTCAAAATTAAGCCGAAAGTGCTGGCAGCCTCTACACTCGGCTTTCTACTCGCTACTGCGTTGGTTCTTCATTTTAGTAAAGCTACCGGTAGCTTTTCAGCCAACTTGATACATTACCTGCCTTACATGAGTTTACGCAGGTTTAGAAAAATGATACAACAAACGTTGATACGTGAGGATCGATTATAATCTTGCGATAAATAATGTGAAATGCACAATATCTGTATCTTTAAATACAAAATACAGTTAAACTTGAAAAAATTAAAAAACTTTTATATGTAACAACTATTTGTAATTAATATATAATATAATGTGTCGTTGCCAGACAATGCAATGATATTTTAATAAGCATAACTTAAAAAAAGTTTTGATGCGACTTTAAATTAAATCTGTAGACGTAGTTTACAAACTATGTTTATAAATTAATTTAAAGTCGAATCGCAACGTTTGGTACATTATTATAGTTATTATCTTTTCCAACTAAAATGAAGAAAAAAATAAATACAAATGAATAAAGATAATAATTTAAGGAGATGCTAGAGCGACGGCCGAACTGGATCAACGTCTATAAAACAGATTCTTATTTATAAATAAAACATTACATACATTTCTTATTCTTTGCTATATCCTATACATCGCATAAATGCTTGATTATGTTCAGATCGTACTTTTTTATTTATTTCTCTTATAAGCTTCAAAGTCGTAATTTGAAGGTCTCATTATGTTCTTATACATTATTCAAATGTGGGAAAAAGTACTTTTTGTTTAGATATGCACTTGAATTCATTTATATATGTGTAAAGAAATAACCTACGTTGTAACAGGAAATTGTAATTTACAATTTAAAAAATTTGTTATATAGGTTTATGGTTTCCCACAGCTATTTGCGTTTTTTCTTTTATTCTAGAGAAGGATTTTTTATTCTGTATGAGAAAAACGAAGTGAATAGAAAAATATGAAATGCGCGTTCCGTCGATAACTCTCAGCATCCCCTTAATAGTAAGGAAAATCGAAATTTTATTTATTGATGTTATAAGAGGAAACTTTATCTTTTAAATAATAATAATCATATTGTATATTTTTTATACAATTATTACGTAAAGAGACAAAAACGTACATTTGTGCAATAAAATATATATTTACTTATATCATCCTGTGTGCTTCATACGGTGAGCACGTACCCATGATAACACGATAAAACAGACACACATAAGAGCTGGTTGTGTAATTTTATTATAAAATATATACTCATCACGAGCTGTTTCGCTGCAAGAATGTAATCCAAAACGCGGTGAGCTTGTGACAAGCGTGTGTCGTGACATGGATAGAATCTACTTGGCGCGGATAAGGGAATTGTGTTTACTCGGAGTTTGCATACTAGTTAACGCGTTTGCCACCCACTTTATGCGTAACAGGCTCGTAAACATCTTCAGTCGAGAGGGCCACTCGTTGTACGTCCCTTTGTCCGTGGTTCCGCTATGCGAACCACGCAAGTCTCTCCTTTCGCTCCTTCTGTTCTCTCAGATCTCATCTCCTCTGTTCCACCGACGACTTTGCGCTATAATACGTATCTCGAAGCGAGATTGAATTTTTAATTTATTCCCATAACGTCCGGGATTCATTCCCATAACATCCGGGAAACAAATTGTCGCCAGTTCGCGGTGGACTTTCCAACGCGGAAAAATATTTTTCTTGGGAATATCCTTGTATATTTATTATTAACCTGTTGTCTGCATCGCATTATACGTAATATCGATATACATGATGTTTTCCATAAACATGTTTTTTATATTTTTGTCTCAAGGTACCAAGTTCCAATCGAATCTGAACGAAATTGGAAAATCGGAACAGAAGTCGTCCGAACAGGATAGAAAAAGAAATTACAATTGGCCTCCTGATAAGGGTGAGTATAAAATATAGTCAAAGTTGAATAAAATATAAAAAAATTGTAATTGAAATTCTATATATAGATGATCATGCATAAACATATAGATAAACGTTTTATACATTGAAAAAGAATAACTATACCAAATATTGAAATAATTCCAATTAAATGTTCGGTTAATAAAAAATAATTTTACTTTTCTAAATATTCAGTAAGTATTATCAAATATAATAATATAATCGCAATACTTACTAAATATTTGCAAAAGTAAAATTTAATTTCAATTACATTAACTAAATATTTGATTAAAATTATTTCATTCAACATTCGGTAGCTGTGTATTACCACCCGAGTCGAAATTTTGCTTCTACCTTGAATTTTAGTTTTAGAACGCATGTAGACTCTAAAGATTTATACACATTATAATAGGGACTATAATTTCGACTCGCGCTTTAGATTCTTTTTTTCAATATATACATATATTAAATTCTAAAATGTATAAATAATCCTACAATCGATAAATATAATACATCTAGATTGATTGGTAAATATAATACATCTAGATAAATATAATACATCTATAAAACAGAAAGAGAATGTTATGTTTTTCAATAAATACATATTTTTTTTCATAAGAAACAAAATATTTTTGTCTGGAATAATTCATCGTGCATAACAATTGCATTTGCGTTTTTCGCAACATATCTGCTTTTCATACAACATCGATAGTGTCTCACATAATATAACGTCAAAGAAATATTCCACTAACGTCATACATTTATATAATGTGACCGATTAAGTGACGTATGCGCAATAAGGGAGAGTGATCTAAATCGGACCGTGTTCTAAATAGGACCTTTTTAATTTAAATGAATACGGTTAAGCAGATTTGCGTACTATTTATAACGTAAAGTCCACCGAACATGTGATAGCAGTTTGACAGTTCTCTGTCATAACATTCATAAAATAGAGGCAAATATGTATTGTATTTTCAGCCATCGTGCGAAAATTTTTTTAAAAAAGAAAATCCTTGTAAATCATTATTTAATAGGTGTTAAAAATTTGAAAAGTAATTGATTTAAGATAATTATAAAAAGTGTAGAATTAAAAAATATCAAGCATTTCGTGATCACTTTTGCGGTTTATTATAAAATTTGTTCCAAAGTTCGAAAGGACCCGTGTCCAAATCGGACAGTACAGTGAATAACT